CTCCAGGCTCAGACGTCCCATGTCTTACCAACTACTACCATGCCAAGCCCAGCACAGCCTCTGGATCCAAGGGACCATGCAGGCTGCAACAAAGGGCTCCTTAGCAGCAAGTGGTGGGGCCACCCAGAGGGGCCAAGATCCCAGGTCACTGGTACAACACTGCGTAGTACAGAGCTTCCGGCTGTATTTAAGCTAGTTTATATAAACTTCAGAAATGTCAGTTTTTTTTTCACATGCCAGTTTTTGCCACACCAAGATTCACGTAGGGACTCCCTATGGAGGCTGAGTGATGCATATTTGCGGCTGACACTGATCACAAGTGCTGGAATTGAAGCCAATTCATCCTGAACCCATGGTCGTGACTGCATTGTGTGGAACAGTGTGTAAAGAGATGAGTGTAAACTCTTCAAAAACACACCTGATTAGCAAACACCAAGGATTTGCGATAAGTTTCCGTTTGAAAGAGTACTTTAGAATGCTTTAGAATCCCTGGCCCTCTTTTAAGAGTAACAAAATACCAATCATGTCTTTGGTTACTATTATCTTGACTTCCAGAAAGTAATTCAAAGCAGGACAATATCAACTCACAAAAAATAAAAGGGTTATTTGCATATTGTACAGCTTGTACAAATTATAAGCAAATCCTGGGCAGATACAAGGTGGTCAGAGAAGGGAGTGAACACAACAATATAGTCTTGTGTGTTTGCTAAGTGCTAAGATTCAAGTTCTCTAACTCTTAGAAAACCATCTAGAAACATTTTAAGGTCTCTGATTTCTCTTTTTAAAAAATCAGAATCCTCCCTGGAGAGGGTAAGGCAGAGAGTAGCCAACAGACCCGCCACCTGGGGAAGGGGTCTCTAGGCTGGGACAGCAGTTGCAGGGAAAACCGTTCTGTGTGTGATGGACACAATGGTTACAAGAGTGCAGGTGTCTTCCAATGATGTTTCCAATAATGAGACTCCTACCCCTAGAGGAGACACACCTGAAACTTGGTTACGAAGCATCACCACGGAACTGCGGCATTGCAGCAGTGGCAATGCTCGGCCGACTGGCCTCCCCCCAGCCCTCTGTGGCTCCATCACTTACTACCCTCCCTTCTGCTCCCCTCACTCCAGCTGCTCTGGCCTCCTGGGTGTTCTCCTCCACCCTGGGCCTTTTCCCGTGTCCGCTCTGCCTGGGATGCCCTTCCTGGACAGGCATCAGTGTGGCCCATTCCGGTGCCCCTTCAGCCCTTTGCTCAAACAGCACCTTCTCAGCAAGCTCTTCTCTACCCAAAATCACCACCTCAGCCTCAGCCCTGCCTTCTGCACTTACCACCATCTGACATATTATGTATTTTACTTACTTTGTTGTCTGTCTCCACTAGATAATCTCCATTAGGAAAGGTATAAAGTCCTGTTCAGTGCTGTGACCTCAGTCCCAAAAAGTGTCTGACATACAGTAGGCAGTTAACAAACACTCCCCGAAAGCATCAAAGAGCAAGTGAATGTTGATGGAATAAATGCCAAGTGGCCCAGGCCTGGAGCATTTCTGCTTTCACAGCAAACAGTGCTGCAGGGGCTGTGGCCGCGCATCTGAATATAGGGCTGTGGAGCCCGGCGACAACCAGAGAACGGGCAAATTAGCAGACGAACAAACAAAGCAAGCAAAAAAACCAAACAAAAACTCATGCACAGAAGGTTGCGAAGAGGCGTCTTCAACTGTGGTCAGAGGACAGCAGCAGGTCCAGGCCTCGGCAGTGTGGACCTTGGCACAGCTCTGTCCTGCAGGGAAGCAGGAGGGCAGAGGGCACCGGGCAGGGTGTGCCATCCCAGAGAATGGTCTAAACAAGTGCAGCCTGCTCTGTGTGTCCCCCAGGTGGGGCATGCGGCAAAAGAGGTGAAGGGAGGATGTCGGTCGCTCCCCTCTACACCTAATTATTCCTTGGTGCTCTTCATAAAACGGAGAAATTCCGTGAGAACAAAAGAACCAGGGAAATTCTTATCTGGGGATAGGGAAACCATGCCATGATTTTATACAAGGGACCTGATGTAAAGCTCAAAGGACAAAATAGTCCAAATACAATGTCTGTTCATGTGCAACTTACTCTCTGGATAGCGATACAAGACAAACAGGTAGGAAACAAACTGGTGGCATTTTTCTAATAAAGGGTCCCTGAGAGTCAAAGAGGGCTAATGTGTTTTTCCTGGAGGCTGGGGAGCATTCAAGTTGGAACACAGAATTCCTTTGCAGTCTTATGTTTTATCTTTTTAGCAAAATTTATCATCTCAATTATATAATTGCTTTAAATACTTACCAGTAAACTTACTTGGGGACTTCCCTGGTGGTTCAGACAGTAAAGAATCTGCCTGCAGTGCAGGAGACCTGGGTTTGATCCCTGGGTCAGGAAGATCCCCTGGAGAAGGGAATGGCTACCCACTCCAGTATTTTTGCCTGGAGAACTCCATGGACAGAGGAGCCTGGCTGGCTACGCTCCATGGGGTTGCAAAGAGTTGGAAACAACCAAGCGACTAACACACACACAAACACACTTCGTTTTTGTTTCCCACAACTTCAAGACAAACTGATACTCCACCAAATGTACCAAGAAGACTGCAGATTCTCCTTGGCACTGTGACCCCCAGGTAGGTAAGTATTAGTTGTTTAGTCATACCAGACTCTTTGTGACCCCATGGACTGCAGCCCGCCAGGCTCCTCTGTCCATGCAATTCTCCGGGCAAGAATACTGGAGTGGGGAGCCATTCCCTTCTCTAGGGACCATTCCAACCTAGCGATCAAGCCCAGGTCTCCTCCATTGCAGGCAGATTCTTTTACCATCTGAACCACCAGGGAAGCCTGTGACCCCCAGGGGTATCACCCTTATTGGTAAATGTGGAATGTGGACATCACAAAAAACATCATCTTATACCAAAATGTATGACAGATTTAACAATTGTTGCAGGTGTTCAGAAAAGGCCAAAATATCTGGAAAGACTATAATGAGTCTTACACAATAATACTATAAACATTATTCAAACTGCTGCCAGTGATATCAACTATATCACAGCAGTCTTTTTTTTTTTTTTTGCCTCACACTATTTTTTTAAAATGAGGAAACAAGACATTTCAAAAACAAACATATATGTATTTTTAATTATAAATGTAAAGCAAATATGCAGTAATGCTAGAAATAAACTATTCTTGACTCTGGGCTCTTTTCAAAGAATTCAAGATTTTTTCAAAAGATACAAGGTACACAGATAAATCACATTCATACCTTACAAATGTTAAATATAAAACAATTTAAATTCATAATGAACAATGAATGTTTTCAGTAGCCTGAAATTTTACTCATCCCATAATTTTATGAGTGAAAGAAAGAGCTAATCTAGTACCTTAATATTGTCATTTACGCATTACTCAAAAGTACAAACACCCTGAAGACAGAGTTTCACACTTATCATATGTATTATAAAAACATTGAGATATTTATCAGGCATAACAAATATAATGAAAACTATATGTTAGGATACGTTTCACAAACACAAGTTCAACATTTCTCTTTGGTTTAGAAAACATAAGAGGTAGGTTCAAATAAAGTAAATGCCTAATTATGTCACCAGATTTTCACTAAAATGTTGGCAACTTATGACAGAAATTACTAGAAATCAAACTTGAGTTTAAGAATTACACTGAAAAGTGGTAAGAATAATTTCAACTACTAAATAGTTGTCTAAGTCCTAATCATACAAATCAGAAAAGACAGTTGTTTATAAAAATGGCTTCAGTAAAATAAAATCATGCTCTCGCTTCATTTTAAGTTTTCTAAATCAAAACATGTTCCTAAAACTGGGGGCAAGAGAAAATATGAATGTACTTGTTTGTAAACTGGGCCTTCCATTTCATTATAGGCACCAGATATGCAGAATTAATATACACTGTTTTTAATACATACTATTCTGCTAGGTTCACACTGCCCAAGTTGGGAATTGCAGCATCAAATAAACGGTAAGGGGGTAATGAGAATGCCATTCACCCATGATCAACCTACTTCACGTAATTAAGAAATTTCAGATAACCAGGAATGGCCTCCAGAAGCCTTCCTGGTGAAAACAGGAGTTTGATTCAAATAGGAGAGAAAGGACAAAGAGAAGAGAGACGCTCTTCAGAGACTGATATAAGTAAAGGGGTTTTCTTTCCTGATGCTTTTCAAAACAATGATAATAAACAGAATCTCTCAAATAAGTTGCCTTGCGTCAACAATTTGCCAGTGATATGCTAATAAGCAGTGTGTTGTCCTGAAAACCAAACAACAGTACAAGCAAAATGGAGAAGTGGTCACTGAAATAAATATTATTTTATCACTCCTCCTTACACAAAAATTATATGAGTGGACTAGGGTATTCACACGCCTTGAAATTCTGCCATTTAACATTCATTCTTATTCTGCTTAAAGAAAGAATATAAACTCTATACCTATTTGGCTGCTGTAAGGTATGTTTTCATGCAATGATTCTCCATTAATGATCCTACAAGGAAATTTTAAGAAATTCAAAATATATGAACAATTTAAGTTTCCAAGTTTTCTGATCATTTTGTTTTTAAGAAAATGATATTTAAGTATAAAAGAACTGGCACAAACTTGAATCAACCAAAATAAAGACTAAAGATTTATAATTCTAGCACACAAAGCAAATTTAGTTCAAGCAAGTACATTTCTTCAGATTTAGGATTCTGGGCAGAGATTGTAGAAAGAACTAATAAGAAAAGATAAACTATAATTTTGTGGCCTTCCTAAAATTGTATGAGCTTATCAAAACTATGATTTTTTTAGACATTTCTGAATATATAAAATTGAGTCCAAATGTCTGAAATTATCATTGATATGCTTTCCTTTTCATGAAAAAAAAAATAAATAACGCTTCTTTCTGTCATAGATTTGTTTCAATTCTAGGAAAAAATGTCACTCTGGAGACAGTTGAAAGTTTCAGTAATCATGCTAAAGCAAAAAATTCACAATGTCATTTCTGAGTTACTCCTAAAGTTTGTTTCATATTTTCATAAACCACATAACTGATGCCTACAGCAGGGAGCACCTTCATAAAGTTTGGGGTGATGCCTCTGTAAAGTCCTGGTAGTCCTTCTTTAGAAATTATTCGTCGAAAGAGCCCAACCATGTTCAGCTGTGGGCTTCCTTCTATCATGGCTAGAAAATTCAAAAAAAAAAAAAATGAAATCAGGCTAATTTAATATTCACACATTTTATTATGACTATATACAATTATGATTCAGAACAATATTCTAGAACACAATAAACAGATAAAATTTATTCCAAGGGTCCTCCAAAAGTGCCCCTTTATATAATTCTCCCTGGATAGCACCTAAGAGTGAGTGCTCTGGTAAGAATAACAATGGTACTATCGCTTTGTGTTAGATGTTGGGCTAATTACTTTATATACCAATCCTCCAAGGTAAGAGTTATTATACCCATCTAGTAAGTAAGGAATCTTAGAAAGATAGAGAAACTTGTCTCAACACACTTAGCCAGCAAGTGGGAGAGCTGACAGCTGATGGTCTTTCTCTTCTGCAAATGGAATGAAAACAGTGCAGTGTTTTAAGAATCAGTAACAACTATGTAAATCAGCTGGCATTTATCAAATTCTCAGTAAATGGTGGCTAGAGTTTTTATTATTATCGGACCTAAAACTTTTGAACTGTGATTCCTCCCCACTGTTACACTGTCTCCTTGACTTTGATTACACCATGCCTCCTGGATCTCTTGTCATCTCACTAATTGTTCTCTTTGTTCACGATTTGCTGACTAGAATCCGCCTGCTAATGCAGGAGATGCAAGAGATGCAGGTTTGATCCTGGGTTGGGAAGATTCCCCCAGAGAAGGAAATGGCAACCCACTCCAGTATTCTTGCCTAGAGAATCCCATGGACAGATGAGTCTGGAGCGCTACAGTCCATGGTGTCACAAAGAATCAGACATGACTGAGCACACATGCATGAATGCATTGCATTGCTATATTAAATAGCATGCATTCTGTGCCTCTCTGTTCTGTTTTATCCCTGGCCTATCTCATCCACTATCATTTCTTTAAACAGTACACCCTGAACATCTGCACCGCTATCCCCAACCTCTCTTCCAAGTACCAACCACACCTCCCCCAACCAAGCAGTCAATCATTACATAACCAACACTTCCAATGCAGATGATTTGTAAATACAATGTAAAGAGTAGACTGCATGGCACATTCCCATTTTACTTTTTGGATGTTTGGGAGTTTTTTCCCTGAGTATTTTCAATCCACGGTAGGTTGAGTCCTCAGATGCAGAGCCCACAAATGGGGACAGCCAACTGTACTCTTAAGACATGCATTCTCAACATAAGCAAGAAAATCTTACTCTATTTGTGCAGAAACCACAGATACATATACAGTATATGCATAGTGTATCTGTGCTATTAAGATTTCATGAAGAAGAACTGATTTAGAAAAGAATTTCTAAAAAGCTTCCTTAGGGAGACAATAATGTAAAAAAATAGTTAAGAAATATTATCTTAAAACCACACTCTGTTGTCTCAGTGGAACTTGAAAGTTCCAGAAGCACGTTATTGATGCCATACTTTTTATCAGTGTCCTGCTTTCATTCAAAACTCACCTTGAGCCTGCATGCGTGTTCTCACCAAAGCCAAGGGGTAGCTGGCCAGCTGGCCACAGGTACTGGATAAGGCACCACAGCCCAGCAACACCATGACTCCAGGATTCACAGAGTCTTTGGCAAAATTATCTAACCAATGAGACTTTAGGAGCTGCCAGAGAAACAGAAAGGAAAAATAATAAACAGCTACTCACAACTGCTTGCACTCAACAGGGACATTCGCACGGCAACTCTCATCCTGATAGGATCAACAGGCTATACTTCTGCAATGCTGGGCAACCCGTTCCCAGGAGCAGCAGCCATTGCAGAGGCAACAGCTCTGTAGAGAAGCAGGGAAGTCACAAGGGATTCAAAACACCGACCACTTGCACTGGGTGCTCCCTTCCGTCTAAGTGAAGGTGAGGATCAATTGCACACCAATGTAGGATCTAAACAACATTTCCTGTAGTATCAATGAAAATAACATAATACTGTGAAGTGCATCTGTTTTTTCTTTACACATATGTTATTTCATTCAGTTCTTCTACAAAAGGTGGAGCTATTCTTCTGATTTTAGAAATGACTCAGTGGAGTTTTTTAAACAAGGGTGTAGAATCAAGTGTACTGATCCCCAGGCCGTGCTTCTTCCTTATTATCCTGGGTCCCTGTATTTCCATGAGCAGGCCATAACTGAGAGAAACTATATAAAATATATATGCTAATTTACTTTTTAAATAAAAATATCTTAAGTATCAAAATATATGCTAATATATGGGGGAAATCATACATTACTTTAAATATTTTAATGAAAAATTTAATTGCATACTTGGACCTTACAATTATATAACACAAATAGCTTTATATATTTGGAAGCAAAAATTACATTTAAGTGTTTATTTAATATTCACTTAGTACTGTAATATATGATAATAAATAGAGTCATGAAGACAACCATGTCTGAACTGCAGAAATAAGAGAAGTGACTGACTAGAAACTAATCAACTGTTTACACTGTGAAGACTAGAACAGGAGGAAAAAAGAGAGGAAAGCATACTCTTGAAACAATTAAAGTTCTATAAAGTATATATGATCTTCCAAGTCCTTTCTGTTTATTCCATAATCCATTTTCTTCTCATGCTAAGGGCCATAATCATTCCCTCTCTCTCAGGTCTCACTATATGTTTTAAATTTTTTACTTATTTATTTTTATTTCTGTCTGTCTCTCCTTCATTAGCTCTGTACCCCTCAAAATTCTGTCACCTTATGAAGATTCTCTGGCAACATCAGGGTCATAACAGGGTCCTGATTCAATAGGACTAGTGTCTCTATAAGAAGAAAACACCATAGAATTCACTCACTCTCTCTCTCTCCCTCTGAGAACATAGCAAGAAGACAGCAGTCTGCAAGCCAGTAAGACAGCCTCCCTACAAACCAAATCAGCCAGAACCTTGATCTTGGATTTCTAGCCTCCATAACTGTGAAAAAGTAATTTCTGTTGTTTAACCCACCCAGTCTCTGGGGGTTTTTTGTGTTCTGGTTTTTGGTTTTTCTGTTTTTTTTTTTTTTTTTTGGCCATCTCGTACAGCTTGTGAGATCTTAGTTCCCCAATCAGGGATTCAATCTGGGGCCCTGGGCAGTGAGAGCGCAGAGTCCCAGCCACAGGACCACCTCAAAATTCTTGGTATCTAGTATTTTGTTATGGCAGTCCAAACAAACTAGCACACTACCCAAAGCAATCTACATATTCAATGCAATCACTATTCAAATTTCAATCATACTGTTCGAAGAAATAAAAAGGAAAAATTCTAAAACTCAAATGGAATCTCAAGGGACCCCAGCTAGACAAAATAACATTGAAAAAGAACAAAGTTGGAGGCCTCACACTTCCTGATTTCAATGTATACTACAAAGCAACAGTAATCAAAATAGTGCCATGCTGGCATAAAGACAGCTACATGGATCAATAGAACAAAATAGAGAGCCCAGAAATAACTTCTCCACATTGGGCAAAGGACAGTCTCTTCTCAAATGGGAAAACAGCATATCCACAAGCAGAAAAATAAAGTTGGACCCTTATCTTACAACATACACAAAAAACTAACTCAAAAATAAGTTAAAAGTCTAAACATAAGACCTAATAGTATACAATTCCTAGGAGAAAACTCAGGATAATAAAAGCTTTAGGACATTGGATTTGGTAACAATTTCTTGGATATGATGATACCAAAAGCACAGGCAACAAAAGCAAAAATAGACAAATGGATTTCATCAACTTAAAAACTTCTGCACAGCAAAGGAAACAAGAGAGAAAAAAAGGCAACCTATGGAATGGGAGAATATATTTGCAAACCATATATCTGATAAGTAGTTAATATCCAAAATATATAAAGAACTTCTACAACTAAACAACAATAATTTTAAAAACCTAATTAAAAACTGGGCTAAAGACTTGAATAGACATTTCTCCAAAAAAATAAATAGATGGACAACAAGCATATTAAAAGATCCTCAACAACACTCATCATCAGAGAAATGCAGGTCAAAAGCACAATGAGATATTGTTTCACAACTGTTGGGATGGATACTATCAAAAAACCAGAAACTAACAAATATTAGTGAAGATGCAGAAAAGTATACAGTTAGTGGGAATGAAAAAGGGTGCAGTTTCTTTACAAAATAGTTTGTTCCCCAAAAAGCTTAAATTAGATCTGATAGACTGAAGATTAGATCTGAGTGCCTGAAGAACTACAGATGGAGGTTCGGATGGAGGTTTGTAACACTGTGCAGGAAGCCATGATCAAAGTCATCCCCAAGAAAAAGAAATGCAAAAAGGCAAAATGGTTGTCTGAGGAGGTCTTACAAATAGCTGAGAAAAGAAGAGAAGTTGAAAGGCAAAGGAGAAAAGGAAAGATACATACATCTGAAGGCAGAGTTCCAATGAATAGCAAGAGGAGATAATATAGCCTCCCTAAGTGATCAATGCAAAGATAGAGGAAAAAAATAAAATGGGAAAGACTAGAGATCTTTTCAAGAAAATAAGAGATACCAAGGGAACATTTCATGCAAAGATGGGCTCAATAAAGGACAGAAGCGGTATGGACCTAACAGAAGCAGAAGATATTAAGAAGAGGTGGCAAGAATACACAGAAGAACTATACAAAAAAAAGATCTGTCATGACACAGATAACCACGATGGTGTGATCACTGACCTAGAGCCAGACATCACGGAATATGAAGTCAAGTGGGCCTTAGGAAGCATTGCTACGAACAAAGCTAGTGGAGGTGATGGAATTCCAGTTGAGCTATTTCAAATCCTAAAATATGATGCTGTGAAAGTGCTGCACTCAATATGCCAGCAAATTTGGAAAACTCAGAAGTGGCCACAGGACTGGAAAAGGTCAGTTTTCATTCCAATCCCTAAGAAAGGCAATGCCAAAGAATGCTCAAACTACTACACAATTGCACTCATCTCACATGCTAGCAAAGTAATGCTCAAAATTCTCCAAGCTAGGCTTCAACAGTACATGAACCAAGAATATCCCAATGTACAAGCTGGATTTAGAAAAGGCAGAGGAACAAGGGATCAAACTTCCAACATCCATTGGATCATAGAAAAAGGAAGATAATTCCAGAAAAACATCTATTTCTGTTTCATTGACTACAGTAACGCCTTTGACTGTGTGAATCACAACAAACTGTGGAAAATTCTTCAAGAGATGGGAATATCAGACTACCTTAACTGCCTCTTGAGAAATCAATATGCAGGGCAAGAAACAACAGTTAGAACTGGACATGGAAAAACAGACTGGTTCCAAATTGGGAAAGGAGTACATCAAGGCTGTATATTGTCAACCTGTTTATTTAATTTATATGCAGAGTCCATCATGTGAACTGCTGGGTTGGATGAAGCACAAGCTGGAATCAAGATTGCTGGGAGAAATAGCAATACTCAGATATGCAGATGACACCACCGTTATGGCTGAAGCAAAGAGGAACTAAAGAGTCTCTTGACGAAGGTGAAAGAGGAGAGTGAAAAAGCTGGCTTAAAACTCAACATTCAAAAAATGAAGATCATAGTATCTGGTCCCATCACTTCATGGGAAATAGATGGGGAAACAATGGAAACAGTGACAGACTTTATTTTCTTGGACTCCAAAATCACTGAAGATGGTGACTGCAGCCATGAAATTAAAAGATGCTTGCTCCTTGGAAGAAAAGCTTTGACCAACCTAGACAGCATATTGAAAAGGAAAGACATTACTTTGCTGACAAAAGTCCGTTTAGTCAAAGCTATGGTTTTTCCAGTAGTCATGTATAGATGTGAGGGTTGGACCACTAAGAAAGCTGAGCATGAAAGAATTGATGCTTTTGAACCGTGGTATTTTGAACTCTTGAGAGTCCCTTGGACTGCAAGGAGGCCCAACCAGTCCATCCTAAAGGAAATCAGTCCTGAATATTCATTGGAAGGACTGATGTTGAAGCTGAAACTCCAATACTTTGGCCACCGGATGCGAAGAACTGACTCATTGGAAAAGACCCTTATTCTGGGAAAGATTGAAGGAGAAGGGGACAGCAAAGAATGAGATTGTTGGATGGCATCACCGATTCCATGAAAATGAGTTTGAGCAAGTTCCAGGAGTTGCTGATGGACAGGGAAGCCTGGTGTGTTGCAGTCCATGGCATCCCAAAGAGTCAGACACAACTGAGTGACTGAACTGACAAAAAGTTTAACATGGAATTACTATATGACCCAGCAATTCTACTGATAGGTATACACCCAAACAAACTGAAATCTGGGACTTGAAGAGATATTTGTATCCCTTTTTCTCAAAATGGGAAATTATCCTTGAAATTAATTCAACCCCTCAACAATGGATGGCATTCCAAATTCCTCAACTTTGTCAGTAGTTTTTGTCCTTAAGACAAGTTTGGAAGGTAACAGAAACTTGAAACTCAAAGAAGTCCTTGAGAGACTTGGCAAAATCCACAACCCACATTGGGCAGATTCATCTGAGTCCCCCAATTCAAATTCAAATAGACCATGATAAGCCTGTTCCTAACATCAAACAATGTCCTTTAAATCCTGAAGCCTTAGCAAGAATTCAACAAATCATACAAGAATATAAGACACAAGACCTCAGAGTCCCCTGCACTGGTCTCTGTAATATACCC